ACCTTGGAGGTCTTCCAGTCCAGCCCCCAGCTCAAGGAGGAGACCCTATACAATTCCAGACAAGCGGCTGTCCAGTCTCTTCTTAAAAGCCTCCAGTGATGGAGGACCCACAACTTCTGGTGGCAAGATGTTCCACTGGTGAATTGTTCTCGCTGTTAGGAAGTTTCTCCTTAATTCCAGGTTTGCTTCTTTCCTTGATTAGTTTCCATCCATTGTTTCTTGTCCTGCCTTTTGGTGCTTTGGAAAATAAGTTGGCCCGCACTTCTCTGTGGCAGCCCCTCAAATACTGGAAGGCTGCTATCAGGTCAGCCCCTTACTTTGGTTAGGAGCCTCTAAAGGAAGAGAACTCTCTACCAGTCTTGAAGTCTGTATTTTATTCAGTCCCATGTCGGCAATCTGAACTTCTGGTTGGCATGAAGCCTCCAGAAAAGTTACATTTTTCAATCTCATCCTGATGGCACCAGATGGGATGGGATACATTCTCTGGCTTCACTGAGTGATATACATGTTTTTCTTTTAAGATTCAACCCACCTCCCCAAAGTAAGAACTTGGATGAAACAAATTATGTTAAACACAAAGGATGTTGAAGAACTGAAGAAACATCTCACAGCTTTAATCCTCTGCTTTTTCAATTAACAGACGGATGCGTCCTCGTCATCGACAAGCAGTATGGAAAAAAAGGTAATTTCTTTAAGACACACTTGGGAAATGGATGTGCAATCGAGGTTTGTACATTAAAAGAAATAATACAATTTAATTACTACTGCTATTTAAGGCCAACAAGAAGAGGGACTGAAGAAAATGAATTATTTGAAATCTCTCCTCTTTTGAAGAGGAGGCTTATTGTTTTGGAGACCAAAGTTAGGCCAAGCACTTCAGCAAGTAGCCCAGGACAAATACATGCGAGCTTCTTTAGGCATTCTTCTGCCCTCACTTGAAGGTTAGCAAAGAGAGAGAGAGAGAGAGAAATCAGAGTAAGATAAATACAGGTTGTCCTCGACTTACAACAGTTCATTTAATAACTTCAAAGTTACAACATCAATGAAAAAATGACTTATGCTCCCTTTTCACACAACCCCTGCAGCATCCCCACGATCACGAGATCAAAATCCAGACAGTTGGCAACGGACTCATATTTATGATGGTTGCAGTGTCCTGGGGTCATGTGATCACCCTTTAGGCCTACAGAGAATCTCAGCCATCCAAGGTCACGATTGTCCCAAAGGTGCTTTTTCCAACAGGCAACTGGACTTTCTGGTTTTTCTTTGAAGACCTTTCACTTCTCATCCAAGAAGCTTCTTCAGTTCTTTAGGACCTTCTGACAAGCAAAGTCAACGGGTAAACCAAATTCACTTAATAACTGTGTAGCTAACTTTACAACTGCCATGATTCATTTAACAACTATGGCAAGATAGGTCGTAAAATGGGGCAAAACACAGCTGTCTCACTTAGCAGCATAAATGTTGGGCTCAGTTGTGGTCATAAGTCGAGGACAAACCTGTATAGAAGAGGAAAAGTAAGAATCCTGTGCCTGGGACGACCATAAATTCTGATTCTCCGTATTCTTGCTTGCACAAGAAGAGCATGGGAAGATTCCCTCTTTGGGGAGAAAGTAAATGGTAGGAAATATCCTGCGTGGATTTCATCACTCCTGTGAAGGTGGTGACTGCACCTGATGCCCTCACCTGTTTTTGTCCATAGCGGCTATCAAGACCGACTACCTTTTCCCAAAGGCCATTTATGACAAAACTTTATTCTGATTGGGACCAAGCATCATGTGGCTTTAAGTGCTTTAATAAATAAATCAGAGTTATCTGTGTCCGCACAACACCCGAAGCCATGAACAATGGTGTGGGAACCACACTGCTGTCCAAATTCAGATAATATTCAAGCCAAACCAAGAAACCACATAATGGCTTGTTGTTATGTGGAGCCCATAACTTTCTTTCCGTGAAGCATCTTAAACACTGGCCTGTGTCCAGAGTAGGAAGAGAATGGGTCTGTCCAGCAGAGAAGGAGAATCAAGCAAGATCTCCCACACAATTGAAAAACATATTGCCCATCAATTAATCACCAAGGTAGACCTGTCCTCTCGAGCTCCAGAACCTGAAGGCTTCACTAGATTATCCATGGAGCTCAGGCTCAGATGGTTCCCAATTTAGGTCCCATAACCTCTGCTAGAGGGGCATCGAAGATTACTGTCCCAGTAGCCCCTTTTCAATCAGCCACCTACATGGAAGAGAGGCTACATGGGATACCTTTTCAACCTGTCAATTTCTGAAGGCACGCGAGAACAATCTGTCATCCTAGAGCACATTGTTTCATAGCACTTTCCAGCATGATGATGCGTTTCAGAGATGGAAGCAGTTTCCTTAGACCATTTAGTTAGGGTGTTAAGGAAAAGGTCAGGTTAGCATAGAACCTTCCCAGGACCTTTATGGATAAAGGACTTTGAACTACCTTGACTTCATTTTGAGGGCCCCATGTTTTTATACACACACACATCCGGTGGCAGAAGAGCTGGGCATTTTATTATTCCTTTTTATTTATTTGTTTTAGAGGCTGCTGTCATTGTCATATTGCATGTACAGAAATTCTGTTTGTGTGCCTTATTTATTACATCCCTTTTCAGCTGTCCGTCCATCCATCCCCTCCCTTTTCTCTCAACATTCACCTATGGTCTTCTCTCATTTTATCCTCCAAAAATAGAATGCCATCAAGGTCTACCAGGATGTGTCAGCTGCTCTTGATTTTGGGGGTGTTGGTGTTGGGGAATCCGAGTCCAAGATCTTAATCGTAAATTTCTATGCCAGTCTGTTATTTTCATGTATGTGTTATGTATCAAACAGGTCTTCCTTACTTGGCAATTGGAGAAATAGTAGAGAAACTAATCAAGAAGACAAAACTGAAGGGCCCACTCCAAGTTTAACTTAAACCAAAGCATCTTCATAAATTTACTTACTGCCATATATGCATTCGTCCCGACGTATGTCTTTGCTATGGAATTCACTAGCTGTCAGACAAAACAACTTGTTAGAGCCATATAAAGCACAAGGAAATCAGGTAATTATTCCTCATTTAACACTAATAATCCTATGTATAAATCAAGAAAAAAATATGTAAAGTGGGGAGGGCACAAATTTATCAGCAAAGGCATTAAAATCCACTCCCTTGGCTTCCTTCAAATGAGAGTTCTCTTTTAAAATATCTGTTATATTTCAATTTATGGGAGAGAACAAAGGCAACTCTAAAATCTGAAGGAGGGGGCTTGGAGCATTTAGTCTCCTACCAAGCAGCTGGATCCGTCGATTGGAAAGGGGGTTTATGAAATCCAGCACATTCAAACAGTTCTCCTCCTCCTCCTCCTCCTTCTACTGTCAGCTGGGCCCAAGATGTGAATAAAGCCACCTTGATTATCAGGCTGGAATGAACACTAAATATGCTGAGGGACAACAGATTCTGACAACCTATAATGCCGCCTGACCTCTTCTTTGGTCCTTGTGTTTGGCTGGGAGGAAAGGTGGCTGCAATTCAATTCAACATCGCAGCGAGTGTGAGGGTCAGTTTCACGCAAGATTCTCAGGGGAAGCCCCAAATGGAAATTAATTAAAATTTGTGCTGCACATTGTTAAAGCCCACCACCATTGTTGATCCCAATATTAATTTTTACTATGGGCCAGTCTGTCTCCCCAGACGCCCCTCTCGTTCTGCCCTTCCTTTTGTTTGGTCCAAGCGCTTTCGGAGCCAAGCTGCATATCAATGAAGTTGGCTATTTGTAAGTAGTAATTACAATATCAGCAGTTTTTACTGTCACGAAACAATGAACAATCATATTCTGATGAAGAAAAGTCACCAGGTGATTAAAAAGGAGGGATTGTTCTGCTCCCAGCAGAGGAAGCTCTGGGCGGGGAGTCCATTTGCCTCCTCACCCGTTTGGAAAGCAGAATTAAGAGGACGGGGCAACCAAGGGACGTACCTGGGTGCTCACTCCAAAGTCACATAACTTGACCTGGCCTCTTGTGTTCACCAACATATTCGAGGGCTTCACGTCTGGGTTGGAGAGAGCAACAACAAAGGCAGGATAAATCCAGAGAGCATTGATTTAATAGCAAATACAGCTGATGGCCGGCTAAAAGAAATATGAGCCTGTGCAAAAATGTAATTTGAGAAAGCATCAGAGTTGACCCTCCATAGCTCTCAGAAAGATAAAGAGAGAGGAGCACATTCAGTCTTGCAAGGTTCTCTTACTCTAAAGTTATCATAAAAATAATATTAGCTTGTGTGGCTTTCTTGCTTTGCCTACTATGGAGGACTGGTATAAGGTCAAAAGGAGGGGCAGAAGCCTTTAAGAAGCTGAGGGTAGGTAGGCCTCTGCAGGCCAGAAGGACATCAAATCACCTAGAATAAGAATCTCCTAAAGAAACCCAGAATGGGACAATGATGAAGTATGTCTAGAAGATTTAAGCAATAGGAAGCAGGGAATGTTGCTGGTTTCATCCCCTAGGGAGATACATCTGGTAGGACGCAGAAGAAGGGCCTTCTTCATAGTGGCCCCCTCTGTCTGGAACATCAAACCGTCAGAAATTAAAATCTCCCCCCCACCCTCTAATACGTGTCATGCCTGCAAGCCAGCTGTTCTTTGGGACTTCAGGCCTACCACACTTTTTACTGTGGGAAAATGGGAGGGGGTGATTATACGGAGTTGGGTGATAAGTAGCCATAACAACATTCTTCTTAGAAAGTCAAGGTCATCTTTGTCTCTGCACCTGGCCGGAAGTGGATGGAAGGAATCTGTCTTCGTGATAGTGAAAGATTGGACCATGTGATGAACTTGCGTGTGTTGAGGCAGGATCTTGAACTTTCAACTGGGTGGAAAAACCTGGAAGCTTTCAGATTCGGGTTTTTCCAGATGTGCCAATAGCAATAGCAATAGCAGTAGACTTATATACCGCTTCATAGGCCTTTCAGGCCTCTCTAAGCGGTTTACAGAGAGTCAGCATATTGCCCCCAACAATCTGGGTCCTCATTTTACCCACCTCGGAAGGATGGAAGGCTGAGTCAACCCTGAGCCGGTGAGATTTGAACCGCTGACCTGCTGATCTAGCAGTAGCCTGCAGTGCTGCATTTAACCACTGGGCCACCTTGGCTCATGACATCTCTAATAAATTCGAACTTTGAGGAAACACAACCCTTGGAGTTTTAGTTCGTTGGGGGTGTTTTTTGGAACCCTGACAATACTCTTCCGGAAGACCTGGTTCGGCAGAGGGCCTGGGAAACCCAGAGCAGGATGGTGCCCATTAAATGGCTTGTGTGTGGTGCTGTTGCCATGGCGAGGGGTGAATTTAGTATATTAATTCATTATATGACTCTTCTTTTATTAGCTTTATTGTTTTTATATGGGGTTTTATATTCTGTAAGCCGCCTTGAATCGCCATGTGCAAATAGTGGCAATATAAATTCCCTAAATAAATAAATAAACGATTATGGAGGCACCTCGAAAGGCAGTCTTCTAATTACCAGAGAAGAATGCAGAACTTTTGTGAATAGATCTGGAGATGATGATGTGGTCCAGCCAAAGCTGCAAAGACGCCCGGCCAATGAAGGAAGGAAGAGTCCTTGTTTTACAAGGAGACTCCCAGTTGGAACAAGGAACCTGAGAAACAAGAACCTTTGGGGAGCTTGAAATGGCCAAAGTGGAAATGAAATATTCCAAGTTGGGTATCTTGGGAATAAATGGAATGGAATGGGCCATTTAAAGTCAGGTGACTACAAGATATACTCTTCGGGGCACGCGTCCATAGAAAGGAATGAAGTGGCAATGAAAATGAAAAAGGGCTTCAGCAAACTTGTGTTCATCTATAAACCAATAAACAACAAAAACATATTTCCCAGAATTAGCGGTTATCAAGTGAACATCAATGTTATACAAATCTATGCAACTACAAAATGAAGGAAGGCCCTGAGCAATTCCAAAGGAGGTGTTAGATTCAACATCAGAAAGGGAGGTAATTCTACTAATGGGTAATCGGAATGCATCAACTGGAGAACTGAAGAAAGCTATAATTACAGGGAGAGATCAATTTAGTAAATACAATTACATGGAAAGTGGGTTAATAATTTTGAAAAAAAGAATTCTTTATTGCTGTGAACACCTGCTTCAAATACTATAAACAGAGATGCTGTAGCTGGATAGGACCAGAAGGATGACGTCAGAATGGAATAGATGACAGAACAGGAAACAGAAGGGCAATCCAGCCAGATGTAATTTCATCAAGTGAGATTGTGGAACAGAACTTGAATTTTTGGTGTGAAATACAGGTAGTTCTCGACTTACGACCACAATGGAGCCCACATTTTCTGTTGCTAAGTGAGACATTTGTTAAGTGAGTTTTGCCCCATTTTAGGACCTTTCTTGCCACAGTTGTTAATCACTGTAGTTAAGTTAGTAACAACAGTTGTTAAGTGAATCTGGCTTCCCCATTGACTTTGCCAATCAGAAGGTCACAAAAGTTGATCACATGAACTTGGGATACTGCAATCGTCATAAACGTGAGTCAGTTGCCAATCGGCTGTACTTTGCTCACATGACCATGGGCATGCTGCAAAACGGTTGTAAGTGTCATAAGTCACTGTTTCCATTGCCACTGTAACTTTGAACGGTCACTAAATGAACTGTTGTAAGTCGAGGACTACCTATATAGCAATTAACCTGAAAAATTTAAGAGACTAAATATGTCAGTGAAATATGATTGGAATGGGATCGATGAAAGGGATGCTTCAATCTGTCTTTCTGCTTACAAAGAGGAACCAGGAGATCAGTCATGGAAAATTTGAGGCTGAAGGGAAAAATTTCCCAACTTTTGAAAGAGGAGGAGACTCAACAAACTTTCAGAATAATCCAGAAAAAGGCAAAGGATGAAAAGTGGGGTAACAAGAAATATATATGATCACTTAACTCAGCTTTGTAACAGGAAAGAGAAGAGCAGGAAAGATGTCACAATCCAAGTTTCTTAAAGGCCAAACAAAAATTAACCGACACAGTGTGAATATTAAGGATCCCACTTTGAGTTCCTGGGGGAAACGTGGAATACAAATCTAACAAATGAGTAAAATAAGCTTTATGAAGGAAGAAAACTTGTCTTGCCTTCTCCTTCTGAGCTATTTTTACCAGACAATGAAATAAATGTAACATTGGCGCTTTTTCCTTGCCATTATGTGAACTGTCAACAAGATTCAAGCCATCTAGTACAAAAACATACAGCCTGCTTTATTTAGAAAACACAATGTAGTCTCTTCAAAATCATCTTTTGAAAAACAGACTCTCTTCATCATCTTGTATGTATAAGGAGGGGCATGCAAAATATTTCATCCTGAATTGTTTCAAGGGTGAAACTCTGCAACCATCCCGCCTTGAGCAGCCTGGAAGTCTTTTGAGCTAAAAAGCCGTGGCATTTCCTGGATCTTTTGCATTTGAAACAATTCAGAATGAAATGTATTGCACATCCCACCAGCACAGCACCAAATTCCAGAGTTGGAGAAACCTGTACAATACAATCCCCAGTAAGAAATGCAAATGACTAGGAACTCATTAGAACTAGCAACACAAGGTTTCTTTTCCTTTCCTCAGGGCCCTGATGGTGAACCTATGCCATATTTGCCGGCACGGCAGCCCTCAGCTGATTTTTGGCTTTCCGGAGGGACGGGGAAAGTCATTTTCACTGTTCCTGAACTTCCAGTTGGGCCATTTTTCACCCTCTCCAGCTCCGGAGGCTTTCTTGAAGCCTGGGGAGGGTGAAAAATGGCCCAATGGGCAAACCGGAAGTTTGGGAATGAACTTCTGGGAAAATATCTGAGAATGTTTTGCGGGGGGGTGTGCGTGCATGCGCAGGGGGGTTGTGCGCACATGCGCATATGGGTGGGCACATGTGCATGCATAATAGCGTGCAGGCACACAATTTTGGCAGACCTTTAGAAAAAGGTTAGCTATCACTGCCCCAGGGTGTCAAGACTGCTGCCCTGGACATTGCTTTTTCTAGAGAGATGGCTAAAATGCAAGGCACATATAATCTCTTGCACAGGTTAGGTGGTTCTCTCTCTTCTTGGCAAAATATTCTACCCTGAATGTTTTTCACTTCCATGGTGCAAAAAATCTACGTTTTAGCAGCAGCTGACGGAAGAAGTATGAAAAGGCAACCCTTAGCAAAGAAAAAAAGATCTGTTCCCTCATACACTAGATCAAGGCTCCCCAACCTCCAGTCCAAGTACCAGCACCAGGCCTCGGCATGCCAGTAACTGGGCTCTGCAAACAAGCAGAGTCCCATCCATGGGATGCTGACAGTACACAAAACTACGCCCCCTCCGGTCCACAGTAAAATCTCTCTCCATGGAACCAGTGCCCAAAAGGCTTAACTAGACCCTTTGAGAGTTGCTTTCTATGCCTGGTCAAATGGTCTAGTGCAGTGGGCCCCAACCTTTTGGGCAGCAGGGACTGGTATGGCACTGTATGGCACTGAATGCTGGGCAGCAACAACAGGGACTGAAAGCTCTCTCCATGCCATGGAAATGCGAAGGCTCTGTTGGATATCGGGCATCTCCCTTCTTGACCATGTCAGCACCAACAGCATTTTGGTGTGGCACCAATTATAGAGAAGATGAGAGAAGGCCGACTCCACTGGTATGGACATGTACAGCGAGTGGCACTTTCCACTGTGGCCAAGACTGCCTACCAACTAGAAGTCAATGGCCAGCGACCTCGCAGGCATCCAAAACAGAGATGGCAAGATAGCACCGACAAAGATATGCAAGCCTTGCAGACACAACTGACCATGCCAAGTGGCATTCAATGATCTGAAAATCTGAAAAGCGGACCCTACACTTGCAAGAAATACTCTAGGAAGAAGGAGGAGGAGGAGAAGAAAGCAACTGGGGACTGACAAAAGATCAATCCCTCCCCCCCTCAAGAAGTCTAGCAAGATAAGGAAACAGAGAAGAAGATCACTACCAGAAAAGCTCCAGGAAGATGCCGGGTGACAAAAGCAAACTCATCTATTATTATTTAATTGGCTGATATTGGATATTCCAAGTACATGAACAAGTGAAACCTCACAAAGGTTCTATCTTGAAACCTTACTTTGTTCTGACTCTCAACCCAGTCTATCTGAAAACAGATCTTCATAGACCTTCACTGAGGCAAAGAAAAAAGATAAAGGAGATAAAAGATGGATTTTACTCCACTAATTATTGCTGACTCTAAAGGGATGGAGCTCATCTCCATTTCAAGACTGCTGAGCCAGTGCTGTCCAAAGAGCTTTCTGTGGTCAAGGGGCCAGCATGACATCACAGAGTGCTGTTAAAAGAGTCAGAGAATGTATTGCCTTAAATTCCACCACAAGCCAGTTGATTTTAAGATCTCAAAATTCCTTTCCTGAAATTAAATCTGAATTGTGACATTCAGCTGAAACATAAAAGAACAAACATGTAACTCACCTCTATGTAAAATTTTTAAGCTCCATAAATATGTAAGGCCTTTAACAACCTACAAATCAGGGGGGAGGAAGAAGAAATGGGTTAATATATTTAATACATAGATAACATGGAGATGCACATTTTCATTTTCAAGAACTAGGACTGAGATCTATTTAGTGATGCAAAAGTTACACAAGAAAGCAAATAAAACAGCGACCGTCACATTTCCACTGAATTGGTTGGGTCAGGACTCAGCAGAGAGTAAATCTGCTTTTCCCTTTGAGGATCCTCTCCATTCTTACCTCGTTGATGTAGCTAAGTCTTTCTAGGGCTGTTGGCCACACTGGAAAGTCAAAAGGTTGGAAGAAGGCAAGAGAAAACGTCTTCCCTGGAATTCCCCCTCCCACCCTAGTATTTTCTCTTGCCTTCTTCCAAACCTTTTTGGAAGTTCAACAGGAGTTGAGCTTTAGTCAAAGAAGCATTTCTCTTTTTTCTTCTTGGAGTCTAGAAACCACCAGTTCTCTCTTGCAATAAACTAAGGTACGAGAATAAATCTTCACTTATGTTTTTAAAAATGGCCACCATCTATAGACTTTATTATGGAAAGCAAACAGTCTTATGTTTTCAGACCAACTATGCAAATATTTTATTATGAGAGAGAGAGAGAGAGACAGACAGACAGATAGACAGAGGGGGAAACAGTGATATACATAATGAAGAGGTAACTAAGTGCCTTTGTTTTTTACTGCATAATAATGTAGCAACATGTCAGCTCACCAACTGCCTGGAAGTAGCATTTTCTTTTTATTACAAAGAAAATCACACAATTTGCATGGATTTGCAATGATGGATTTTTTACATGAAATGTAAGAATGCGGTCAAGGTAGAGAACAGAACTCCCACATGTAGAAGTGCAGAGACTCCTTTAGTGGTTGGGTGTATCTGTTGAATGAATGGCTATAAAAGTGTCCTGTTACCTAAATAATAGAGTGATTTTCATGTCTGTGTTTAAGACTGCTTGATAAGAACAGGTCCAAAGATCTCCCACAGCCTCTCAGGCATCGATCAGACATCTCACTATTCATTTACACGAAACAAAAGGACATTTTCCAATCTGGGGCACATACACACAAAGTATTAAGCGTTCAGGTGTTAAAAGAGATGCCAGCAAAGAACAGCTTTCATCAGGTACTCCAGAAGCTATTGGAGGAACTTGGTATATGGTAGATTAGATAACAATGACTTGACAGAGCCTTGACACAGCAGTTGTTGTACCTGCCATCAATCACTCATTTTCTTGACAGTTTAAGGACACATCTGAGGGGGGAGGGAGAGAAAGAACCTATAATCAACATTAGCACTTCAAATACAGTGCAAAATGTCTCTACATCAGGAACAGAAAGGAAAAAAGATGGGTAAAATGGCAAGCAAAACCCAAACCCACATTAGCTTAGGCAAGATACTGATGGGAGATGCTTGGAGCTGGCCTTTCTCTGCTGTAGCAAATACACAAAAAAAGAAATCTAAGAAAAGGCATTTCAAGGCACATATTTTTGTGGTAGGGTGATTGCAATAGGGTAGGACAGGACAGGTTTATTGGCTAAGTATGATTAGACAAGGATTCCCCGCCCCCCGCCAGCATAGGCTGTCAGTGTACATGTAACACAACAAAGTAATAATAACCACAATAACGATACAATAAGAGAAGGTAGTAGATCAGATGGGAAGGGTAATAGTATTATAGCCCTACTACGTGGTTAAATAACCTTAGACATAATACAGCATTGTGGGAATTAGCTGTTCAGCAGAGTGATGGCACGAGGAGAGAGAAAAAACCTGTCCTTGTGTCTGGTTGTTTTGGCATGCAATGCCCTATAGCGACGTCCAGAAGGAAGGAGTTGGAACAGTTTATGTCCAGGCTGTGAGGGGGTCTATAGATATTTTCTCAGCCCTCTTTCTGACCCGCACAGTATACAGGCCCTGTGGAAACCAGGCTGGTTGCAATTGTTTTTTCTGCAGTCCTAACTATCAGTTGGAGTCTGTACCTGTTCTGTTTGACAGCTGTACCAAAGCAGACACTTATAGAAGTAGTAGAGATGGCAAGTACAAATGAAAGAGTAAGTACAGATGAAAGAGTCAAAAGCAACCGGAAAGGTTCTGATGCTAAAATAAATCTCAAGTAAATATAGTTTAGAATTCCTGGATTCTCTTAGCATGCCATTCTCGGGTCTGTTTGCCAAAATCTCTCTCCCCGATATGCTGTTCACAGATGCGGGTGGGAGGGAGGAGAGGATTAAATTGTCCCACTCAGTGTCTGTTACCACAGCAACTGGTTGGGGCTTCTCTCTTAGAATCAGAGAGTCCTGGCCATTTCAAAATATATGTCTTGATAGGCCCTTATTCTGAGTTCACGCTTTAAGATTTGGATGTGTGAGAGCCTTTCCTTTAAAGTCCATTTGTCAAACAGTGAGCCAATTCATTGCACAGCTTTCGGCACACTAGGAATTCTTTTCCTGTAAAACATTTAAAAGACGCCACCTGAAATTCTATCTTGTCAGGCTGCACATGATCCCAAGAAGTAGAAAGTCTTTTTAGTCAAATGAAAGTTACAGGCGTAATTATTTAGTAAGTTGCAAATTATCCCAACAGGAAAATGAAACACTTTTCAGCTCGCTGAAACAGGCCACGTGAAAATCCCCAGGCTCTCCCACACCACGAGAAACCACATTGGGCTCAAAAGTAAAGCCATTTGGAACTGTTCCAGAGGGAGCACATCTGATGAAAAGATGCTCTTTGCGCATGCATCTGAAGTGCAGAGGATGAAGCCGAGCTGTGAATTACAATGAAAGTAGACTAAATAGCTGTCTGCCTTAGATTAAAGGGTTTCAGTTGTCAGCTTGATGTATAATGAGTGTGGAAAACAGGAATTTAATTAAGTAGTGCATTACAGAATAACTCTGATATGCTTTCAACCACTTAAATTATCAAAGCCTGCCTCCGATTTGGCCATTGTGCAGCAATCCCCTTCTGTCAGCGGTCAACCGGGTGTCCGTTCCTTTGGCCTTTGTTCAGCTCCCAAAGACAATGGTGCGCTTGCTCCAATTTGGTCAATTCTGCTTAAGAACACACGGCACCGTGTGCAAAGGCACATGAGGCAGAATCGGAGCACTTTGCCCTCTTTACCCCAGAAATACAAAGAGTTTTGTGGCATCTTGAAGATGGTTATATAGTGTATGCTTCTCTGAATTCAAATACTTTCGTTGTATGCTTGTATTCAACTGAACCTTAATCCATGCTGTAATCGATCGATTTGCTTTCCAAGCATTATAACAGTCTCTCATTCTCCCCATTTTTCTTCATTGTTTCCCCCCACCTCCCCACCCGTCAATTGCTTCTACTGCACCTGCACACTTCATTTGGCAACTTCATGATTGTGATTAAGCAATTCCACATTTATTAAATGTTTCAAAAACGGATCTGCCCCACCCAAGGTACTCACAGCTACAGCTATTCTTCCCAAGACGTGTTCTGGAATTTTTCTGTAGACATCTAAGGAGCCCCCTGCAGGGAGAACAAAATATGATCAGCTAAATCTAAACTGCTCTTCTCTAAAAATATCACATCGATCAGGGGTTGCCAAACTTGACAACTTTAAGACTCGTGAACCTCAACTCCCAGAATTCCCCAGTCAGCATGACCTCCCAGATGATTGGGTGCGCACTTTGCTGTCCAACCAAGTGGTGAGGAATCTGTGGCTGGTTTGCTCAAGAAATTCATCCTGAGGTGAAAGTGCCAAGAAAAGCAATCTTTAAGATTGTCATTACAAAAACTCAATAACCCTTAAACTGCCATTCCAACCCACAAGAAACATGTAGGACCAAGAAGGAAAATCTGTATTGGTGACTAAATTAAATAAAGCTATTAAGATGACGGAACAGATGTTTTGTCAGTTAATACAGATTGCATGGAATTGGGAAATATTAAACCACATATAAACCACCTTTTATTATCTACCATATCTACATTTTCAAAAAAAGTTTGTGCAACTCTATTCAAGAAAACAGAATCAAGAAATAACTCTTGCTTGCCTGATGCATTGAGCCTTGTGAATGTTATTCCCAAAATACCCCCTTAAAAAAAAAACCACTATCTGTAGGATTCGCTTCATGACTCTAAGGCATAGTAAACCAATATTCTTCAACCAATTCCTTTTTTACAATTCCTTTTTTTAAAACTATGGTCCTTCACCAATGTTATAGTATTTCACTTACCATCCATAAATTCAGTACAAAGGGAAATCCGGTTTTCTACAAAAAAAGCACCATAAAATCCTATGATATAGGATGAATCGCACTGAAAAAAGAAAAGAAAAAGCAGGTGAAATTATTATTATTTTTTAGGAAAAACAGCATGATAAACAGAATTGAAAAAGAAGTGCTGGAAAAGCATTACCTTATAAAGGATTTCTAATTCAGACATAATCTGTTTCTGAAGTTCTAGTGTAATATCTAAAGGAATCACCTGGAAATAAACATAAATATTAAATTATTTATTTCACTACAGAAAATTGGGTAGCACTCAGCAAGAAACATTATTGTATCATTTCTTTTTTTTAATGTATAAGCTCCAGTCTGCATTGAGAAAAAACAATATCGCATGTTTTTGGTGGTGCAGCTTTTGTCCTCACTGTTACTGAAATCAAATGCCATAGCCCAGTGTTTCTCAACCTCGGCCACTTGAAGATGGGTGGATTTCAACTCCCAGAAGTCCATGCATGTTGGCTGGGGAATTCTGGGAGTTGAAATTCAAGTGGCTGAGGTTGAAAAACACTGCAATAGTCCACGAGCAAGTGGTTTAGAGGAGATCAATTTAGTTCAGTTACGCAATGTAACTTGACTTTTGATACTTAAAATTGCATCTCTTCCGAGCAGAAGCTATGATTTTGGTGACTTCATGGAGATGACCTTGTAGGGGTCTGGGATTTTCTTTGATTTCCTAGCTTAGTATTCCTTCCAGGCACCCATCCATGTATGAACCAGACCCACACCTGCTTAGCTTCCAATCCCACACAAGATGTTGCCTTGTGCAAAACCCACCCTAATTATCCTACCACAGGGGGGTCCTTAGTGGACAGCCCACCCAAAGAAATGGGCAGCCCATTTTTAATATGGAAAAACATCTCTACAGCTTAATCACTTCAGAAAAGAATACAGGGCGGGGCATAACCTTTTCCTAGGGGGTCACAGCAACACTTGTAATAACAACACAAATAATTCATACACCATTCGAAAGCCCATCAAGAACTGCGTTTATTGACACGATTTAATAGTCAGTATGACAACCATTAGCCCTTAGACCAGCATTCAAACGAGGTGGATA